TTTTTGTCTTTTTGAGACAGAGTCTCACTCTGCAGTTCAGGCTGGCCTTGAGCTCACAATACTCCTCCTGCCTCAGCCTCGCAAGTGCTGGGATTACAGGTGTGTGCCACCATGCCCGGCAAATTTCTTTATTTTAAAAATTATTTTCCTTTTTCTTTTTTTTGACATGGTCTCAATATGTGATCCAGGCTGGCCTTGAGCTATATAGCCAAGGCTGCCCTTGAATTCAAGTGATCCTCTTGCCTCAGCCTCCCTGAGTGCGAGGATTACAGGTTTGTGCCACCACACCTGTGTCCAAGTCTGTGTTTATACATTTATTCATTCAAGGAAACATCTGAGTTGAACATGGTGCTTAGAAAGACCCTCTGTGTCAAAATTTTTAAGATGAAAAAGCACTGGAGATGTATGTCAGTGAGAAGGTCCTGGGTTCAATTGTCAATACTGAAAAAAATAAAATAAAAGGAAGCACCCACTGGGCTCTAGGAACTTTTGATTGTCTACTTAATTAAACCATTGTCAACTCTACAATGTTGATTGAATCCACTTAACTCCTTTAGAGATCGGTACAACTACCATCCCACTTCCTGGCAGATGAATCGGAAGTGTGTTCTGGGCCATGTGCTTGCTCATGTGTTCATTCAAGACATATTGAGAGGCCAGGAGTGGTGGTGCACACCTATAATCCCAGCACTCAGGAGGCTGAGGCAGGAGAATCTTTGTGAGTTTGAGACCAGCCTGGGCTATGAAATGAGTTCAAGGCCAGCCTGAACTGCATAGGGAGATCCTGTCTCACACACACACACACACACACACACAAAAAAAAAAAAAACAAACAATAAACATATTGAGGGCTGGGCAGTAGTGTATGCCTATTATCCCAGCACTCAAGGCTGAGGCAGGAGGATCATCATGAATTAGAGACCAGCCTGGGCTACACAGTGAGTTCAAGCCCAGCCTAAATTACAGAGGGTGACCCTGTCTCAAAAAAAAGTATTGAAGGCTGGGCTGTGGGCCAGGAATGGTGGTGCATGTCTGTAATCCCAGCACTTGGGGTGGGGGGTGAGGTAGGAGGACTGCTTCAACCAGCCTGGGCTACAAAGTGAGTTCAAGACCAGCCTGAACTACATAGGAGACCCTGCCTCAAAAAAAAGGGTGGGGGTGGGGGTAGCTCAGCAGCATAAGCGCTTGCCTGGCAAGCCTGAGGTCATGAGTTCGATTCCTGGTACCAAAAAAAAAAAAAGGCTGGGCTGTGGATCAGTGGTAGAGTGCTTGTATAGTGCACATAAAGCGCTGGGCTCCACACACACCCACCCACACCCACACCCACACCCACACACACACAGCAGAAACCCAAACAAAAAGTGGAAAAGAAGCGTTCCTTGGCCTTTGAGAGGCTCCTGAACCCAGCAACGACGCGACCCAAGAGGCCCCTGTGACGCCGATGAGCAGACAGAGGCTGTGGCTCTGCGTGTGCAGCATGGGCAGGGACTGCGCCCCTCTCTCAGGGGTTCGTCCCCAGCACCCAGAGCACGGCTGCCTCCGGGCGGTGCCCATGCAGAGGCGGGGAGAACCATGAGTGGAGGAACGGGCTCACTCGCAGCCTGGCCTCCTCATCCTCCCGGGTTCCGGCCGGCTGCGTTTCCCGGGCTGCCACCTGACCCCCTCTCCCCAGGGCCGCTGCACTTGGGTGAACCCTCTGCAGAAGACGGAGGAGGAGGAGGAGCTGGGGGAGGAAGAGGAGAAGGGCGACGAGGGGCCGGAGGAGGTGGAGCAGGAGGTGGGGCCCCCGCTGCTGACGCCACTCTCGGAAGATGCAGGTGAGGGGTGTCCTCGTCCTCGTCCTCGTGTCCTGTCTGCAAGCCCTGGCCTGGGAGGGGCCGGCGCAGAGGGCGGCCAGGCAGAGCTTCCAGAGCCATCTTGGTTCCGCATCCCCCAGACAGCCACAGGGGGCACGGGGCAGCGGGCTGGGTCTCTGCGCTGGCCTGTGAGCCCCGGCGGGCTTGGGGGAGGCTGCTGCAGGGCAAAGGGGAGTTTGGCTGGGGTGGGGGCGGAGGCTGGATTTGAACCCAGCCTGTGAGATATGCCAGGAGCGTAGCTGTGCCTCCGGTGCTGCCACTGAGACTCAGATGGGTGAAGCGGCCTCCTGGGCCACTCCTGCGGGAGAGGTCGGGAGCCAGCTCCGGTTCCCACAGTGCCCCCCCCCCCCGTGCTGTTGTCGCGCCAGCTGCCCCGGGCGCTCTGGGCTTCTTTCCTCCCCTCTGACCCCAGGGCTCTGCCCAGGGTGCGGGGACCCCTGACTCCGTGCTTCTCCACCTCCCGATGCAGAAATCATGAACATGTCGCCCTGGACCACCCGCCTGTCCTGCAGCCTCTCCCAGCAGTACTCTGTCGCCGTAGTGCGCTCCAACCTGTGGCCCGGGGCCTACGCCTTCGCCAGTGGCAAGTATGTCTTCTCTCACCCCTCCCTCCGGGAGCCCACTCAGGCCTCCTTTGGAGCTGGCAACTCCCCGGCAAGGGCAGATTGGGAGGAACCCCTCGGGACTGAGCCCCTAACTCCTTATCAGGGGTCCCACTGGGGCTAAAATAAGAAGTTCAAGCTGGGCCAATGGCAAGAGTTGTAGTCTCAGGTACGCTGGAGGCTGAGGCAGGAGGATCGCCAAAGCCCAGGAGTTCAGTCTGTAAACAACATAAAGTCCCACATGGAAGCCTAGAGAATCCGAGAGGGAAGAGCACAGCACAGGGCCACTTACCGGAGGCCAGCCTGGCTCTCCAGTCCCCTCCCTGCTGGGCCAGGCCTCTTTTGGACAAAGGGGATCTGATTCTTCTGAGCCCCTGGACGGTCCACCTCCGGTCCAGGAAGTGGAAATCTTCCCCACCAGGATGGTCCCCGAGTTGCTCCCAAAAGGCTGGCAATTCAGAGTCACCCGGCTGCTCCCGCCCCGGGCACACCCTCCATTTCAGTACCTCAGCGCTCTCACCCGGCCGCGTGTGGCAGCCCCTCTGCTGAGCCTCAGGCGGGTGCGCTACCAGCTCTGTCCACCAGGTGTCAGCAGCTTTTTCATAGATTGCCCTTTTTCCTACCTGCCAAGTCCCACTGCAGCCAACCCTGTATTTGGTGGGATTTTATGTCCTTTCTTTTTTTTTGAGACAGGGTTTTGCTATGCAGTTCAGGTTGGCTTTGAACTCACTTTGTAGCCCAGGCTGGTCTCGACTTTGCAGTGATCCTCCTGCCTCAGCCTCCCAAGTGCTGGGATTATAGGAGTAGACCACCACACCTGGCCATGCATCTGTGTTGAGACAGGGTCTTGCTATGTAGCTCAGGCTGCCCTTGAACTCAAAGCAATCTTCCTGCCTCAGCCTCCCGAGTGCTGGGATGATAGGCATGTGACCCATGCCTGGTGAGATTTGGCATTTTTAAACAGCTACAAATGAGGCATGGCTGGTTTAGGGGCCACATGGGCCAGGAGAGGCGGGGACCTGGGGCTGACAGGGTGGCTGTGTGTGGAGAAGCGCTGAGGCACCGCAGGAAAACAGTGCTCTCTGGAACAGCAGAGACTAAAAATAAGGTCAGGGCAAAACCAGATCTCACCACAGTCTGCCTCTCCCCTGCTTCTTCTCTCCGCCCTCTCCCTGTGCCCAAGTCCCCTCCCCTCATCCACGCGCTCCTCTCTCCTCTAGTTCGAATTATGGAGAAAGGCAGGATGGGTGGGTGAGGACCAGGCCTGTGGCCTTGTTTATTCCCAACCTTTGCTCCCTTCTGTGCCCCAGCACCTGGACCAACAGAAATAACTAGAGAAGAGAATTTTAGCTGGGCGTGGTGGCATGCATCTGTAATCCCAGCACTCCAGAGGCTGAGACGGGAAGACTGCCATGAGTTAGAGGATAGCCTGGGCTACAAAGTGAGCTCAAAGCCACCCTAAACTGCATAGTGAGGGCTGGGGATATAGCTCAGTGGCATAAGCACCTGCCTGGCAAGCACAAGGTCCTGAGTTCAATCCCTGGTATTGCAAATAAATAAATAAATAAATAAATAAACTGCATAGTGAGACCCTGTCTCAAAAAGACATAAAACAGCTGGATGTGGAGCCAGGGGTGGTAGCACACGCCCGTAATCCCAGTACTTAGGAGGCTGAGGCAGGAGGATCATTGTGAGCTCGAGGCCAGCCTGGGCTACAAAGTGAGCTCAGGGTCAGCCTGAACTGTACAGTGAGACTCTGTCTCAAAAAGACCAAAAAAACAAAACAAAACAAAAAAACCTCAACCAACCAACAAACTGAGATGTACTGTAAGTGGAAAGTATACCTCAGATTCTGAAGATTTAGTCTGTGTTCCCCAGTGCTGGAGATGGAACCCAAAGCCTCACTGAGCTGCTAGACAAATATTCTGCCTTTGAGCTACATCCTCAAACCTTCAATGTGTTTCTTTTCTTTTTTTTCTTCTTCCTTTCATTTTCTCTCTCTCTTAGTGCTGGGGATTGAAATTAAGGTCTTTCCCCCACCCAGTGGAGAGGACTGAACCCAGGGGCTTGGCGCTGAGCTGCACCCCCTGACCATTTTTAATTTTCAGACAGGATCTTGATAAGTCACCTCCCCTTCTCCTAAGAGAATTGAAATCATGTTAAATACCTTCTGTGGCCACGAGGGAATGAAATTAGAAATCAATAACAGAAGGGAATTGGAGAAGTTTGCAAGTATGTGGCAAGGAAATAGCACTCCCCTCTATAACCAATAGGCCAAGGAGAAACCGTAAGCCAGGCATGGTCGTGCACACCTGTAATCCTAGCACTCTGGGAGCCTGAGGCAGGAGGATCACAAAATTGAGTCCAGCCTGGGTAATGTAGAGATTCAGTGACACTCTATCTTATGTACACAGCTCAGTGTGAAGGTCCTGGCTTCAATAAAGAAATTGCCAAGCGTGGTGGCGCACACCTGTAATCCCAGCACTCAGGAGGCTGAGGCATGAAGATCGCTACAAGTTCAAGGCCAGCCTGGGCTACATAGTGAGTTCAGGACCAGCTTGAATTACACAGGGAGACCCTGTCTCAAAAAACCAAAAAAGAAAGAAAGGAAGAAGAAATCATGTGGGGAAATTAGAAAGTTAAATAAAATTGAGAACTCCCTCTTCCCGTTCCCCTTGCTATGTTTTAAGCACTCCAAATTTACACATGTGCCACTCCAGACCTAAGCCTGCGCAAAGCAGGTGCTCAGGACACATTTGCTGAATGGAGAGAGAGAGGGAAACCAGGTGGGAGTGTCTCCCCGACCCTGAGAGAATTTCTGAGACTTTGACGGCAGGCTGTGACCACGCTGTGGGCGGCCTTTACAGAGTTTTTTGTTTCTGTTTTTTTTTTTGTCTTTTTGAGCAAGGTCTCGCTATGCAATTCAGGCTGGTGTTGAGCTCACTTTATAGCCCAGGCTGGCCTCGAACTGGTAATGATCCTCCTGCCTCAGCCTCCTGAGTGCTGGGATTACAGGCGTGTGCCACCATGCCCGGCCCTCCTTACAGAGTTTTGTGGTATCTCGCTGCCCCTGCAGAAAGTTTGAGAACCTCTACGTCGGCTGGGGACACAAGTACAGCCCGGACAACTTCAACCCAGCCCTGCCAGCGGCCATTCAGCAGGAGTACGCAAGCGGCCCGGAGATCACCGAGATGAGCGACCCCACGGTGGAGGAGGAGCAGGCCCTGCGCGCTGCCCAGGAGCAGGCCCTGGCGGCTGCCGAGGACGAAGAGGAGGACGAGGAGGAGGAGGAAGACGAGGACCTGGATGACTAAGGCCCTGCAGTCCCTTTTCCTGAGCAGGCAGACAGCAGTTTTCCCTTCCACGTAGATAGTTCCAGATTGTATTTTCACTGCCCTTTGCTTCCTGCCTCGGAGGTGCAGGGGTAGAAGACAAATAAATTTCCAATGCAGTGATTAATTCACTTGTTTGCTACATTTATGGACCTGGATGCCAAGTCAGGGCTACTGTGCGGTGCTAAGGGCAGAGGATGGCACCTGCTGGCAGGGTCGCCCCCCTTTTCCATTCATTTATTCAGATGGCCAGGGCCGGGGATATAGCTCAGTGGCACAAGCACCTGCCTGGCAAGTTCAACGTCCTGAGTTTGATTTCTGGTACCAAAAAAAATTTATTCAGGTGGCCATCAGACAATAATTGAAGTGACCCCTATTAGCCCAGTCCTGTGTGGAGGACACAGAAGTGTCCAAGTGTGCCCTGGGCTGCCTTCCCAGGGCTCACACACTCTAAGGAAGGCAGACTTTTCCACAGAAGATGGCAGTCCAGATGGAGGTGCTCAGGAGGACTGACAGGAGCTGCTGAGTTTTTTGTTTTTTTTTCTTTGTCTTTTTGAGACAGGGTCTCAATATGCAGTTCAGGCTGGCCTAGAGCTCACTTCGTAGCCCAGGCTGGTCTTGAACTGGAACGATCCTCCTGCCTCAGCCTCCTGAGTGCTGGGATTACAGGCTGTCTTGGTTACTTTTCTCTCGTTGCTGAGACAAAATACCCAACGCCCAAAATGAAGGAAGGAAAGGTTTATTTAGCTTACAGTTTGTGGAGGTGTCAGTCCATACTTGGCTGGCTCCGAGGCAGAAGGTAGCAAAGCAACAAGAGCAAAAGGGGAATGGCAGTCGAACAGCAAAGCAGCCAGAGCAAAAGGGAGGAATGGCCGCAAGCAGTTTCTTTTCCCTGCCTTAGGTTGTAAACAGGCTACCCCCACCTAAGGGGCGTGTAGTTCTCACATAATCTCCATGCCCTCCTCTTCCACAGGCTCAGGATGTATACAAAGTAAGCACCCTGGCTTCCTGCTGAGTCACTTAGCCAAACCTCTAGATTCCCCAAGTTGACACAATGTATCAACCATAACACAGGCCTGTGCCACCAAGCCTGGGGAGCTAACTCTTAAAAGGTCAAGAAAAGCACAAGGAAGGGCATTCCACATATGCAAAGACCTAAGGGCAGGACACAGTAATGATGAGGCAGGAGGATCTCAGTGAGTTTGAGGCCAGCCTGGGCTCATAGTGAGCTCAAGGCCAGCCTGAACTACACAGAGAGACCCTGTCTGAAAACAAACAAATGAAAAACAGCAATGATATGATGGAAGGGGGCAGTTTCTCATTTTAGGTGGCACATAATGTGAGAGGTTAGTGGACAGAGATGAGGTGAGAAGGAGGTTGGCTGAGGCCAGACCTCACAGGACTTAATTTTACCCTGAAAGCACCAGCAGCGACAGGTGGTCTGGATCAGGGGAATACCCCCATTTTACTTGTACTTTGGAAAGACTCCTCTAAGCAGATGCAGTGGCCCAAGCCTGTAATCCCAGCTACTGGTCAAACTGAAGAAAGAGGATCCAAAGTTAGAGGCCCATTAGGGCAATTTAGAGAGACACTCTCAACCACTGGGTGTGATGGTGCATGCCCGCCCCCTTAGCACTCAGGAGGCTGAGGCAGGAGGTTTGGCAAGAGTTTGAGGCCACACTGGGCTACATAATGAGTTTGAGGCCAATCCAAACTACACAGTGAGACCTGGTCTCTAAAACCGCAACAGTCTAGGGAAGCCAGGCGTGGTGGCGCACGCCTGTAATCGCAGCACCTTTTTTTTTTTTTTTTTTTTTCATTTTGTCTTTTTGAGCAAGGTCTCGCTATGCAATTCAGG